ATATTTTGTATTTCTGCAGTATCAGTTGTAATGTATCTTTTTTTGTTTCTGGATGAGTTTATCTAGGTCCTTTCTTTTCTTTTTCTGGTTAATCTGGTTAGTGCTCTATTGATTTTGCTTATCTTTTCAAATAACTAATTTTTAATTTTATTGATCCTTTGTATTTTATTTATTTTTTTTAGCTTACATTTTGTTTAGTTCTGCTCTGAAGTTCGTTATTTCCTTTCTCCAGCTGGCTTTGGGTTTATTTTGTTCTTTTTTTTTCTAGTTCCTTGAGATGTGACATCAGGTCATTAATTTGTGATATTTCTGTCTTTTTGATGTAGGCATTTAAGGCTATGAATTTTTCCCTTTTGCATTGCTTTTGTTATATCCCATGGATTTCAAAAGCTTATTTCTCCTTTGTCATTCAATTCAAGGAATCTTTTTATCTCCTTCTTGATTTCATCATTGATCCAAGGATCATTCAGCAGTAGGTTGTTTAATTTCAGTGACTTTGTGTAGATTTCAGAGTTTCTCTTGGAGTTGATTTCTAGTTTTATTCCACTGTGGTCTGAGAAGGTACATGGCATGATAATATCAATTTTTTTGAATATGTTGAAACTTGTTTTGTGACCTAAGATATGATCAATCTTGGAAAATGTCCTAAGTGCCGATGAAAAGAAAGGATATTCAATAGTTTTTCAGTAAAATGTTCTGTAAATATCTTTTAGGTTGATTTGTTCTAGAGTCCTGTTTAAGTCCATTGTTTGCTTTTATTGATTTTCTCCTTCAGTGATATGTCCAGTTCTGTCAGTGAGGAGTTGAAGTCCCTGGCAGTTACGATGCTACTATTTATTTCTTTGCTTAGATCTAGTAGAATTTGTTTTATGAATATGGGAGCTCCTGTGTTAGGTACATAAATATTTAGAATTGTTATGTCTTCTTGGTGAATTGCTCCCTTTGCCATTATATAATGACCATCTTTGTCATTTTTACCATTGTTGATTTGAAGTGCATTTTATCTGGTATATTTTATCAGATAAATTTTATCATATATATTTTATCAGAATGGGTATACTTTCTCACTTTCCATTTCCATTTGTCTAGAATATTTTTTCCATCTTTTTACCTTGAGTCTGTGTGACTCCTTCTGCATTAGCTAGGTTTTTTGCAGAGGGCATATACTTAGGTTGTGTTTTTTCATCCATTCAGCCAGTCTATCTTTTACATGGGAAATTGAGATCATTTACTTTCAGTGGTATTATGGATATGTGGGATGCTGTTCTGTTCATCATGTTGGTTGATACCTTGTTGTTTTGTTTTCCCTCTTGTGCTATTGTTTTATAAGAGCTGTGATGTTTAACTTTCTGATATTTTTACTCTGGTGGGTATCTATTGTGCTATTCCATGTATAGTATACTTTTGAGCATTTTCTGTAGGGAAGGACTCATATTAACAAATTAGTGTTTGCTTGTCTGGAAAAGTCTTCATTTCTCTATCATTTATGAAACTTAGTTTTGCAGGATACTAAATTGTTGGATAGCAGTTGTTCTGTTTAAGAAAACTAAAAATAGTTATTTCTTTTCTTCTGCTGGCTTTGAGTTTGGTTTGCTTTTCTTTTTCTACTCTCTTGAGACATGTCATTACATTGTTAATTTGGAATGTTTCTGTCTTTTTGATGTAGACATTTAAGGCTATGAATTTTCCCCTTAGGACTGCTTTTGCTGAATCTCATTGATTTTGGTAGGTTGTATGCCCTTTGTCATTCATTTCAGGGAATCTTTTGATTTCCATCTTATTGACCCAATAATCGCTCAGCAGCAGGTTGTTTAATATCCATGACTTTGTGTAAAATTGAGTGTTTCTCTTGGAGTTGATTTCTAGTTTTATTCCACTGTGGTTTGAGGAGATACATGGTATGATTTCTATTTTATTTTAATTTGTCGAAACATGTTTTGTGGACTAAGATATGATTAGTCTTGGATAATGTTCCATGTTCTGATGAGAAGAATGTGTATTTGGTAGTTTTGGGGTAAAATATTCTGTAAATATCTGTTAGGCCCATTTGTTCTAGATTCTCGTTTAAGTCCTATGTTTGTTTATTTACTTTCTGCTTGGATGATCTGTCTAGTTCTGTCAGTGGGATGTTGAAATCCTTGGTAATTACAATACTGCTTAGATCTCGTAGGATTTGCTTTATGAATCTGGGCACTCTGTTAGATTTCTCCCTTTACTATTGTACACTGACCATCTTTGTCTTTCTTTACTATTGTTGATTTAAAGCCAATTTGATATGTTATGAGAATGGCTATACCTGCTTTCTTTTGGTTTCCATTTGCATGGAATATTTTTTCCCATCACTTCACCTTGAGTCTGTATGAGTCTTTGTGGGTTAGATGTGTTTCCTGGACACAGCAATACTTTGGTTGTATTTTTTCATCCATTCAGCTAGCCTGTGTCTCTTCAGTGGGGCACTCAGACTGTTCACATTGATTGATAGAATTGCCATGTGGGATGCTGTTCTGTTCCACCTGGTGTGTAGTACCTTTTCCTTTGTTTTACTTCTTGTGCATATGAGCCTCTGAGCTTTAGCTTTTTGGTGGTTTTACTGGGGTGGCTTGCCCATGATTATACAGCTAGTATGTGACAGAGCCAGCATTCAGATCTATGGTTGTTTTTTGATCTACAACATACCCCTGCCTTGTTATAGTAAAGACTAAATAGTGAATGTGGAAATCAGAGAAGCAAAGCCTCTTGAGCCCTTTCAGCTACTGGAGAGTAGTAGTACATTAGGATCTGGTGTGCAAAGAAGTAGAGTATGAGATGGACCAAGACTAAATACTGGCCGGGTGCGGTGGCTCACACCTGTAATCCTAGCACTCTGGGAGGCCGAGACAGGCGGATCGTTTGAGCTGAGGAGTTTAAGACCAGCCTGAGCAAGAGCGAGACCCTGTCTCTACTAAAAAAATAGAAAGAAATTATCTGGACAACTAAAAATATATAGAAAAAAATTAGCCGGGCATGGTGGCACATGCCTGTAGTCCCAGCTACTTGGGAGGCTGAGGCAGTAGGATTGCTTGAGCCCAGGAGTTGGAGGTTGCTGTGAGCTAGGGTAATGCCACAGCACTCACTCTAGCCAGGGCAACAGAGTAAGACTCTGTCTCAAAAAAAAAAAAAGACTAAATACTGGACAAAGAGCAAAAACTGAGAGCCTGAATTGAAAGCCCGTAAAGCATAATCCAAAAGAAAACTTGGGGCAAGAGCAGCTAGAGATTTTGTGAGGGAGACCTAGGAATTGATAAAGTGTGCTTTCGGCCTAGCCCAACTAAAATGTCCCTTTGCAAGGCTGAGTACCTCCTCTGCTGGTCTTAGAGGCCTATAGCTTTCTAAGCATAAATTTTAACAGGAAAAGTAAGGTCTAAGGTCATTTATTTGTGGTTTTACAGATTACATAGCTGTATGTTAAAGTTGTTGCAAAACTGGCCCTATTTAATATATTTCCAAGATTTATATTTTAGAACACAGTTTTTGAAATTTATATAGTGATGACAACATTCTACATCTGTTGCATTTTAAGAATTCAGTAGCCACATGTGGCTTATGGTTGGTTAGTGGTTTCCATATTGAACAAAACAATAAAACATGGGTTCTTTAAAAAAAAAAAGGAACTTTAGGTAATATACACACATGTAAACATATTTGAAGTGTTAAGAAAAATAAAAAGTGAAAAGTATTTTCCCTTGTCTTCCTCTCAACTGTCTGTGCTCTAAAGATATCTACTATTAAAACTTTCTTTTGTATCCATTCAGAAAAAGTATGTCCATCACAATTTTGTATGCATATGCTTTTTAAAAACTACAAAAATTAATTATACTAGGGATGCTGTTTTAAACCTTTTTTTAAAAAGATGAAAACTATATCTCGGAGATCTTGATGCAACACTACATTTAGCTCTACCTCCCTCTTGAAAAGTTGCCTGATGTTGTGTTGTTTGGGAATGGAATATGTCAGTTCTTTATTCATAGGATTTTCCATTATTGCTGATTTTTTACTATTTAAACAATGCCATAATATATATGGCCATTTATGTATATAGGGAAAATTCCTAGCAGTACAGTTGCTAGATCAAAGGATAACACAGCCTCTTAAAGAGGACTCTCTAATGGTCCTTCATAATATTTGCTATTTCTAAGCAAGGAGGGTGTACAGAATTTGGGATTGGGGTAGAGCATAAACAGTGAAGACTGGAAGGAAGGAAACCAGAGATAAAGGTTAAAAAAAAAACTCTGGCTGTGAGATAGGAATGATAAATATTTGTATCAATAATTTTAAGAGTGGCCTTTAAAGTTTAATCAGTACAGTCTATCCTGGGAATACTTTAAAATAATGCTTTAAATGTCAGAATGTTTTTTTTTTTTTTTGAGACAGAGTCTCACTGTGTTGCCCGGGCTAGAGTGCCGTGGCGTCAGCCTAGCTCACAGCAACCTCAAACTCCTGGGCTCAAGCGATCCTCCTGCCTCAGCCTCCCGGGTAGCTGGGACTACAGGCATGCGCCACCATGCCGGGCTAGTTTTTTCTATATATTTTTAGTTGTCCAATTAATTTCTTTCTATTTTTAGTAGAGACGGGGTCTCGCTCTTGCTCAGGCTGGTTTCGAACTCCTGAGCTCAAACAATCCACCCGCCTCGGCCTCCCAGAGTGTCAGAATGTTTTATTGCAACAAAAAAGTATAACCTTTTTTTATAACTGTTAGTGTCTTTGGTTTTATTATAAAGATATTGCATGTAATTTGGAAAATGCAAGAAAAAATAAAACACAGATTTCATTCATCATATCACTACTCAGAGATAACCAATATTATTTTAATGTAGTATTTTTGTATATGTATTAGTACTTAGGTGAGATCATACTGTATATACATGTATTTATATCCAAAATTTTCTACGCTAATCGTCTTGATCATTCTGATTTTCTTTCATTCATTATTCTTTGCTCGCTTTTTTTTTTTTTTTTTTTAGGTAATAGAAATTTAACCTGGTTTTGGAATGAGTTTGGATACCAGAATAATAAGGACATGGATAAACCTTTAGATTCTATTCAATATCAAAGAAGACAAGCCATGGCCATCCCATTCATCATACAGTGTGGTAAGTGTTCAATTCCATTCTAATTATCAAATATTAATGAGTTCCTAAATATGGAAATCATTGGGTTAAGAAATGGGGGACAAGGGAGAAGAAAATGGGTAAGACGTGGTTGTTGCTTTCAAGGAGGTGACAGTCTAGGACAGAGGTTAAAGTAAGCATGAAAATAATTGTATTATAAAGAAAAATAAGGTAAATGATGTAATGGAGGCAAAGAGTTCTTCAAGGGTTCAAAGAAAAGGATAGGGGTTAGTAGAGGCAAGGTTTTTCTGTAGAAGTAGAATTTATGATAGTCTTTAAAGTAGAATTTTGATAGGCAGAGATGAATCATAGGGAATGTGAGTTAATTTCACATCTATACTTCCACTAAATTGTTTGTGGTGGAGTAATAGAAACAACCATGTTTTTATTTTTAATATGTAAAACTATGTCTAATACATAGTAGAAATTTAATAATTGACCAACTGACTGAACAATGAATAAATAATAAAAGACAAAAATATTAGGTTTGGTAAACGTATTAGAGAGCTTTGAGTGGCAGGGTAAGTTTTTACTTTGATAAGCAATGAGAAAGCATTGGAAGTTTTTCAATAGTGGATAACATCATTTGAATCATTGAGTGCTTATTGATGTGTTTTCTAGCCACTGTTCAGAGGGTTATGGAATTAAAGACAATCTCTACTATCTGCAATGAACACTCCACTGGAGAAAACAGACAAACAAATAAAAAAGCACCCTATAGTGTGTAAAACTCTATACAGCACCTCCCCAGCATTTTGCCTGGGAGTACTGCAAGGAGGACCTGACTGGCCAGATTAACTTGTAGTGAGATCACCCTGGCAGCTCAATGAAAGATGAGCTAGTGGAGGGCTAGCACAAGGGGAGGGGTCAGACCTCTGAGGAGACCCTGTTGTAATCTAGGATCCAGATGAGGAATTGTAAATGTCTAAATTAAGGGGTAGCAATGAGAGTTAAGAGGAACATACATGAAAGATATTTAGAAGTTGTAATTGAATATATTAATGACAATTTATTGGATAATAAATATAATGGCTAACAATTACTGTGTGTTGTTGAAATGTACCAGGTAGTGTTATAATTCAGTCTCCAATACCCAAGCGCTGTATGAAATTGGGCATATTATTTAACTTCTTTAAACTGCAGTTTCCTCATTTATAAAATGAGATTAATACTTGTAGCTACATCATAGAGTTGTAAGAATAATATAATTTAATAAATTTAAAGTTTACTAAGTCCTTATGATAGTGTCTAGCAATATTTTTGTCTTTTATCATTATTATAATTATGTCATTTCATCCTCAATAATCCTTTTAGATAAGTAGTACTAATATAGTCTCTTTTTACAGATAATGATACTGAAACATAAAAGTTAAATAATTTGTCCAAGATCATAGAGGTAGTAAGAGGTGGAGCTGTTCAGGTTCTTAACCTCTGTGCAAACTTCCTCTGCCTTAGACAAATACAGACAAGTATTTACCTAAGAGCCATTAGCAGTCAGTCTGGAGAGAATTCAGAATTAAACTGCAGTGTAGCCTGGAGAGAGTAGTGTGCCTCTGTCCTAAAGGCAAAGAGGGACTGTAAGGGGAAAATGGGCAAAAAAAATTCAGAAACTGTGGACTGGAGAGTGGGATAAGAGCAGAAGAAAATACACAAGAAGAAAAATGTATATATGGTCCAGAGACCTTGTTAGTCATGTGGTTGGACACAGAAAGTAGTATTGTCATCAGACAGACAGGTAGTAGGTCAGAGAAAATGGGAGAGTCAAGTCCCTGGAATTTTTAATGTGGTTTATGAAGAGAGAGAGTGGGATCTATTACTTAAGGTTTTCTTGGCTCCAGGTAGCAGAACTTAACTGGAGGGAACTGAAGCAATAACAATAATAATAATTTATTAGTGGGATCCTAAAGTAGCTGATAGTATCTTAGAATAGTTGTACCATCAAGCATAATGGTATATGATGAAGGATTCACTTGTCTTTGAATTGAGAGATACCTCATACTTTTGGTATGTGCAAACTGACATCTTACTCTGATAGATTGATTTCTGATTGTCTCTTTTGTGTGTGATTTTGTTTTGATTATCAGATCTTTGTCTTAAATGGAGAGTCTTACCTTCTTCTACTAATTATCAGGAAAAAGAATTTGTTGACCTCTGGATTTGTGCTAATAATCCTAACCTCTTGGAAAACAGGTAGTTTCAAAAAAATTCTTTATCTATTTTTAATTCCTAAATTTCATATGCATGACCTGGAAAATGTCAGTAAGAGATAGATTTTAGCTTAGTAGCTGATATCTCTTCAAACTCTTTCTACCTCCTTGTTACCTGTGTAAAGATTGTTTTTATTGGTGTGCTTTTCAATCAAATAAAAGAGATCGGTATATAACTATTTGCAAACATTGGGGTGTGTAACTCTTGCTTCCACTGGTGCGAGACTCTGACCCAGTGCTTAAGAGTTCTGCCTTCCAGTTCATTTTCACACAACATATAACCCTCCCATACAGGAATGTTACTCTGAGAGTGTCTCCAGGAGCATTAAACTGTTAGACCATGTGCTTTTTCTATTTAAGTCATATATTGATTTCAGTGCTTTATGCTCTTGGAGGAAAAAGTTCAGACTAATAATAGCTTTCTCTTACTCAGCAGTGATATATGCTATCTCATTCTATCTTTACAAAAGCCTTGTGAACTTCCCCACTTCTCAGAGGAGAACCCAGAGAGGCTAAGAAAGGTTCAGTGACTTATCCAGGGTTCCTCTCTAGACCTCAAACTGGAAGCCAAGCCTCTGGTGCAAAATCTGTACTCCTTTTGCCCTACCACACCCTCTCTGAGAAGGTTCTTTTTGCATTTCTGATTCTATTCAAACACTTTTTAGTGACCAAAATATACCATTTTACAAATGGTAGCATTCATGATCGGTAACCCGTACAGGGTAAAACGTAGCCATTCTTTTTCAAACCACTAGAGCCTGGTTTTGTTTTCCATTTCAAGCACAGAGGAAGGCTATGCATTTTTAGCACAGCACCTGAGAAATAGATATCGGTGTGCTTCTATTACATTCATGCTATGCTGTTACCTGCATTGAAAATATGGATTAGCAGCAGGGGGAAAATGATGCCTATTACTTGGCTGAACCAAAAAAGTTTGAATTTTGAAAAGGATGTTAAAAAATATCTATGGGTTATATTGCATATTAAAATTTAATTTATTTCCAGAAATTTTAAAAAGAAGACAGTTGAATGGATTACATTTTAATAAAATACTTGAGGTTTCTCTTTTCTGAATAAAAACTTCATGTTCTTTTCTCAAATGAAATAGAAGCCTATATAGGTACCACCCCACAGATGTCTTCAAATCAACACTGCAGGTTCTATATATAGTGGTTGTCCCTAGGATTTGTTTGTCTAGCACCTTTCTTTGAAAATAACAATAATAACAAACACCATATGTGGGTGAAATTAAGTGGTTTTTCATAGTAATACTTGGATTTGATTGTAGTTCCTCACTCTTATCAATTGGTAGGGGGCAAGAAAAATATATGCTGCAGCCCTGAAAAACAGAGAAATAATGGGTCTGATCTCTTTTGTTTTCCCTCACTGTTTCAGATGGGAGAAGGCTCTCTATTCTCTACCTCCTCCTCCCTCTCCTAGCCTAACACGCATATATTTTCTGCAAACTTTGTCCCTCACTCCTCTTTTTGGTAGCTGAGTAAAACTCCTCCACACACCTCCCCCAGTGAGTAGTAGAAAACTTCTTGACCTAGAGCAGTCTGGAAGAACTGACCTCAGCATTTTGCTGCATGTCCCCAGCCATGCCCTGAGTCAAAGCTGTGCCCAGTGACAGTTGAACTTCTTATCTGCATCAAGCCTTGATACCAAGGTGCACGAAATAATATCTCAATAGTTTGGCTAACTCAGTTCCTCAGTACAAAGCAACAAAAGTAAAAGTGAGAAAAGCGAAAGACCTCTAACTTTCCAAACCATATATCTTGAAAATCATGAATATTTTTTTGGAAACCATAAGGAGAAATGTGCTTATCCACAGCCTGTTTATTGTTCATTTACAAATAATTTTACATAATTATATATGGCATGTATTAACCCACTAGTTATTAGAAACAGCACATCTGTAAGGCTGGGGAGCAGAGTGACTGCCAAAGCAGGTACTCTTAGAACAGCAGGGCACTGGGGCAGGGCGCTGCCATCAGGCTATGGGGCGGAGGGGCTGCACAGAGCTCAGTAAGCCCTGAGGCTGTCCCTAAGCACTGCAGCACACCTCATAGTCACTGGTCTTCACAGTGATCCTGCATCACCTAACAAATGATCCACGTGTTCCAGAGGCGTAAGTATTTGATATAGAGAGACATCGAGATTTCTATGCCAAATTTTTTTGGGAAAAAATGTTTGGCAGTAATGAGATAAGCCTCAGTGATCTAAAGAACATTTTTACAAAAGTCCTCATTTTATGATAATGTAGAATAAGTGAAGCATTAACAAAATAATTGATATTCTCCCGCCCTCATAAATATATGCCATCAAGCTCTTTTCCATGCAAATTGGAGATTTAAGGTCTTATATAAACTAAAGTCATCAATACAACACTCTTCCTTTGTATTTGAATTTTGGATATACACCAAAAAAGAGTAACTATATGTAGAAGCGAATCATCTTTTACAGACAATAAATAGTTTTCTGTTTCCTCCTGTTAATCTTGTACTTGTTCATTCTGAAGTTGTCATCAGGTAGAAAAGCTACCCTCCATCCCCCTGGGCACCATAAACACAGTATCATCATCAAAAAATGAGAAAGAGAAGCAACTTAGAGAGTCAGTCCAAAGGTATCAAAATAGACTGGCAGAACAGCAGCCACCGGTAAGCTGTCATTAATTCTTTCCAGATTCTACTGTGATTCTTAAGCTGTTGGTTTCATATGTGCAAATTGACTAGTGGGGTTTACCTGAGTAAAATGCATAGCCGCTTTTTTCCATCCTTTTTGTCATCTTCTTTTAATTTTGAATCTTAGGACTGTTCTAGAGGGTGAGTGCAGAGTAGAGAGGCGAATTCTGTGAAAAATACTGGCCATGTGATATCTAAGCCCATCCACACGATAATACATGTGAGGAATAGGACATTTATTTCCACTCTACAGCTACACTGAGAGCTTCACAGAGGTCAACCAGCATATCCGAGTACATGTAGTCCAGGTGGGGACACAGAGTTATATATGTCCCCCAAAGGGTAGGCTGTCTTTTATGTCATTAGGCTTCTTCTCTGAGGGTGGAGTTTTAAGGTAAAGAGTTCTTTTTAAACAAAGGAATGAAATGAAGTCATTTGGAGCAACGTGTAGGGAACTGGTGACTGTTATCCTAAGTGAAGTATCTCAGGAATGGAAAACCAAACACCGTATGTTCTTACTAATAAGTGAATACTGTTAATAATAGATGGGTACACACGGGCACAAAGTGATATAAAGGACAAGAGAAAACCAAGAGGGGGAGGGCGGGAGGGTAAGTGTGGGGTAAAAACTTACCTGTTGGGTACAGTGAACACTATTCTGGTGATGGGCACACCAAAAGCCCTAACTTAGCATTGTATAAGATATTCTTGTAACAAAAATGTTTGTATCCCCTTAATTAATATTCTGAATTTAAAAAATATTCAAAATTCAACAAAGAAAAA